ACGCGTCCGTCCGTAGTCCATGAGACCCTTCACACAACTCTTTCTAAGGTCTGTTGACAAGGACGACTGGAGACACTGGGACGCGACTTGGTTTTTTGTTCCCTCTTCTCACGTGTTACGTCAGGACAGGACCGTATCACTCGCGCGTGTGTGTGTGTGTGTGTGTGTGTGTGCGTGTGTGCGTTGCCGTGTGTGTGTGTGTCGCGCTGCCGCATCTGCCGTGTGGCGCTTCTGTGCGTTCAGTGCGTCAGTGCGTGTGCAGTCTCTGTTTGTGTAGCACATCACAGAGAGCCGGACGTCCTGCTGTAAGCTCAGTGCTCACGCAATGGCAAATCGACAGTATATCTGGCAGAGAGCACTGGAGAAACCCACACCGCACACCAAACAGTACAGGAACCATTGAGTGTTGTCGAGATGACACCGAGCTAGATCGTCCCACATTCACATTCAATCGACACTCTAGACTATAAACAAAGGGCACCCTTTTTCGTTTTTCTCTAACGTCTTTAAATTTGCATCTTCACTTTCCTACTCCTTCTTTGTAATATATGATCACGTGGTGTTTAACCGAAATAAACGAAGACAAAGTTAATACTAGAGGTAAACTCCTCTTCCAACCATTTTAATTCCTGTAACTCGACCTTGAGACTTTTCTAGTACCGATTTACATTCAGAGTCACACATTTGGTGTATAAAAACACTGTCTGACGTTTGACGAGAACTAAAATGAGGGTGCAAACAAACACACTCCCGGACACACACACACACACACACACACACACACACACACACACACACACACACACACACACACACACACACACACACACACAGACACACACACAAAAAGACTAAGCAATAAATGTGTACACATTTTGCCAGAAATTAGGTCATTTCCATTAGAAACAAATAATGATACAAAGTATGTAGTTTGCGAGCAATCTCAGCCCATTAACAGGTACTGTTAATAGTTTAAGCTGTCATTAACTGTAAGTCTGTCATATTTGATATTCTAGCATCTTATTATCAGAAGAAGAATGTTCCATAGAACATGAGTATCATTCACAAAAGAGAGATAGAGATTTGGAAAGTTTTATTTAAATGTGTGGTCGCCCTTTCTTTGAAATACGTGTGTTTCCTCACCAGTCCCACAGGTAGTGCTGCACTCAGTCCGCCCACTGTTTGTCCAGGTGTAGGTGGGTTGGGGTTTCACGCTGGGCTCAGGGGGAATCTGGTAAGGATGGGGTTTCTCTTTGATGATGTCATTGTTAGTGACCTCACCTTGGTGCTCCTTCTCCCCTGGTTGGGTTGGGCCCACTGTCTCAGCTACAAGAGTAGAGACAGTTTGAGGTTGAAGCCCTAATTTGACAGGCAAGTAATGGACGAAAGGTCAACATAACGTTTTAAGAAGTTGAATAGATAGAAATAGGATATGATGCCTTAAATGAAATATAATATTGTTAAAGACCCAGTTTATCTATGATATCCAACACAGAGGATTTCAATAATTTTGCCAAATTAGAGCTTCTTCTCAAGTCTGTGCATGCAAGTGTGGTTGATTGATTGACATCTCCCTCACACTGCTGTTTGCATTGGTACACTGTTTTGGTTGGGTAAAGTTACTCCGTTATCGCTCTTATAATTAGATTAAGTGCATACTGTAGGGAGCAATTTTAGACATAGCCATGGAGTCTGGTGAGATCTTGTAATTCCGAGCATTAGTCCAGCATCAGCCAGAATAGAGGTCTAATCAGCAACAGTATAAACAGGGGGCTTAAAGCATAGGTGTTGTTTTTTGAGAACTCTTGTACTTAAATCAATATTTATCAGCATCAAAAGGCCTACATTAAATGTAGCAACATCTAAAATATACAGTATTTAATGAAGGTTTAATATTAGTTATTGAAATGAAATCAGGCTCAAGTAACTGATTCATATCTCAGTGTGCGGTAAAGAGCTCTGTGCCAGAACAACGTTTGGCTGCCTGCCTGTTTCAAATGGTATCTAAATCCTAATCAAATTTTCGAAAAGATAATTTTGCGGAAAATGATACATATTAGCGTTATCCTGAAATTTGAACTAAACAACCACACACTCTGCCCTGTTCATGCAGAAACAAATCTGTTCTGTGTTATGCTCCCTGAGGGGAAGCCAGAATATTCAGTATGAGGAATTGGACACTGTTGTTATTTAGGCTCACTCCAATATGGTTTTAAGTGTGTGTTTTAGTGTTTGCACTCACCCAAGGGCAGAATAGTAGCAGGTGTGGTCTGCTCAGGAGTGGGGGTTGTGCTTTGTAATGACACAATGTATTCATAGTATACTTTCGGACCTGGTTGCTGGTAGATTAACTGTGTGAAAGAGAAAGTGATGATGATGTATTGTACAGCATTGTAGTACAAGTAATTTTGTTTGTGTTAGTGCATTTGAATAACGGGCAGCTCTCATGGTGTGTTTTAGTTTGTGTCTCACATAAACATGCAGGTCTTCAGACAGTGGCCCGGGTGAAGTAATGGACTCTCCATTGCGAGAGCGGATTTCATTTGGCCGTTTGTACGTCAGCTCCGTTCCTACAACGGTGAAGATCCCCGGCCTGTCAATCACCCAGTTGCCGTTGATGATGGAGACACCACTTTGTGTCTGCAGAGCTGGAGGAAAACGCAATATTCATCCTACATTTTTTCATCAAAAATATGTCTTGTGTGTGTGTGTGTGTGTGTGTGTGTGTGTGTGTGTGTGTGTGTGTGTGTGTGTGTGTGTGTGTGTGTGTGTACCCAGGTAGTTTCGGCTCTTTATTGTCTCCTGTATGCTGATGTTGCATGCTCCTGCAGGAATCTCTGTTATTTTATGGTAGCCAACACGAAGGAAAGTCCTGGAGAAATTTCCCTTCACCACCTCAAAACCCTGCCAACACACATGTTCACACATTTTAGTGCACAAAAATCCACAGGTACAAACACTGTATGTGCCCACTCATCTGCAGACTCGCTGCATGCTAGCTCACCTCTACCAAGGTTTCACCATCACTGGCATGTGTTGGAATCATAGGTTGGAATAGTATAATCATAAATTCCGTTGGATGACATTGCACATTTTTCTCTCATTTTCACTAATCCATTTTACTTTAGTACCCCTCTTTCTGGAAATCCCTAAGCTCACTCAGTCCAGACCCACATTTGGTTGGAGTTGAAGCCTTGTTGGTCTCCCTCTCCCCTCCCCGTGTACAAATCTCTATTTTACTAGTTTAACTCTTATGTTGTTTTTCGTGTCATGTCTATCTGGTCCTTCTGGTTTTTATTGTTTTATTCACAACCCTGAAAAAACTGGATCTGTTAGTGATTAGTTATCCTTAGTGACAAAAACACAGATAATATAAAACATGTCATGTCATGCAGTTATTCCCCTGATTCTGATAAAGAATTTTAGCTGTGGTATGCATAAGCAAAACAACCTCAAATAAGCTTAAGTTGTATTGGGTAAAGTACAAAATGTCCTTCATAAATAAGAAAACAAGGATCTCACAAATAATATATTTTGCGCCAAAATTAACTTACAAAAGTATTAGAAAGCATAACATTGCACAACATTTTAGCTATGATAATAATTGTTATAGTTTTTCCATGGCCATCTTGATATCCTACCTTCAGAGGGAGTGGACTGGCTTTGGAATCCCAGGGAATAGCACTCGAGGGCGGGTAGAAAAGACAGATGAAGGGAAGGAGAAGCAGAGCTCGACCCTGCTGTAGGGGCAGGAGCTGCTGCCACAATCCAGCCATGGATAGACTGAGGGAGGAGGACACTCACACACACAGACATATGTTTAATGGGAGTGTGTGTGTGTGTGTTTGTGAGCTGGGGTTGGCTTGAGAGGTGGGAGGGAAAAAAGACAGCGTTTTGAGTGGTGTAAGGAGAAGTGTTGAGAGAAAGTGTTTGGAAATTGTATGCTTAAAAAAAAGTTGTTGCTAGTTTAAATCACACCCATTTTGCACCAAGAATGTCTTGACAGCTCATGATGAGTGTTTATGATTTGATGACAGACTCCTGTAGTGTATCCTCAAGCCAAAAACAATATCTCTTCCCATAAATTGTCATGCGAGAATATGAGGCTTTAGAAACACATCACTCTGGATAGACCTTCCTCTTGTTTTCACTGTAAAAGCCTTTTCTTGTTCAGAGATATGCCCTTTTTTCTTCGTTTCACTGCTGAGAGGAAAAATGTAACATAAAAATGTGTGTGTGTGTGTGTGTGTGTGTGTGTGTGTGTGTGTGTGTGTGTGTGTGTGTGTGTGTGTGTGTGTGTGTGTGTGTGTGGGTGTGTGTGGGTGGGTGTGTGATATCCAATGACAATAGCTAAATCCAAATGTAATTGCACCAAAATATGCAAAATATGATATATCTTTAGAGAATATTGTAGTAACCTGTATGTAAGTCTATGATTGTACATGTCACTGCCGATATGTTTGTTAAAGAGTTACTGTGTCTCAATGCTCGCAGTGTGTGTGTGTGTTTGTGTGTGCGTGTGTATGGTGTGTGTGTGTATAATCAGACATGGCAGCTATTAAGCTGTCACAGTGGAAAACTGAATTTGGCTCCCGTCTTGGACAGAGTTCACAGTATTCCCTGAAAGACTTTTGAGAATGCTTGTGTCATAGCTCAGTGACTGCTGGTTATTCACTGCAGGGGACCAGCGTCTTAGATCAGGCTGTCTGCCAGAAAGGGGGAGAATAAAAAAATAAAAGCAAGTGGATTTAGGTGCACAACTTTTTTGTAAGTTTATGGTATAAAGGTGTGTTGCAGGACATCTGTGTCCTCCTGTGTCTCAGGCCAAAGGGCCCGGGGCCAAACAGAGAGACAGACAAAGACAGAGGCATAAAGATAGAGACAGAGAGAGACAATACAGTGGCGTCATCTCTCTCCATACTGCTGCCAGTGTCCTCATGAGACTCCACAGAGCTCTGCAGGATAACATTCTGCTTGTCTTTCTCACTCCCGCTGCTTTCACAGGGTCCCGATTGAATAATCTTGTATCACGGACATCGTAGCGCTTTCTCCACAAATATGTGACTCATATATCTTTGTGGTTTTCACACACAAACATATGGACATTTAACACTCGCACAATCAGAATAAAAATGAGGTTCTTGGAAAAGTTGTGAAATTCTCAGTTTGGCAATTTCACACTACATTGTGAACAGCTGTGATGTCGTTCAGTTGCCAATATTCAAATATTTTGATCTGAAATGTCATGTTTCTGCTACTGCTGCTACAGGTAGGCAAAACACATTATCTGTGCTCCATCCCACTAAATTCCTCCACAATGCCACAATAAGTTGCGTTTGACATTTCAAGTCATTTCTGATATGTACAACTCTTTTTTGTTCTTAATCCCTGACAAAACGCAGTGGAAAATTAAAGAGCCAAGCAAGCTGCGCTACATTTTGTGTTTACTGGGCTAAATCAGTCCTCTGCCCAGAACTGACACATTCAGCCAGGCAATATATTGCACCCATATGGGTTTGAAGCTCTCCACATCATTAATGTCCATGCAAATATTATACCATAACATCTCAAGATCAAGACTTTTGGAGTGTGTCTGTGGGGGTTGATTCCTGGCCAGTGAATTTAAAAAAATGTATCTGATGGTAAAACGTCATCCTTTGTGTGGGAATCAATGATGAAGGAGAACTGAATCACTTTCGAGAACAACTGCAAACACACACACACACACACACACACACACACACACACACACACACACACACACACACACACACACACACACACACACACACACACACACACACACACAGTGCCACAGTAACTCTTTAACAAACATATTGGCAGTCACATGAACAATCATAGACTTGCATGCGTACAGGATACTTCAATGTTCTCTAAAGATACGGTAGTTGTCATCTTTTGCTACTTTGGTGCAATTACATTGAGATGTATCGATTGACCTGAATATGACTGACTGCATATACTGTATGAAGCTTGTGAAACTGGCAAACGAAAACGCAGGCTGTCCAAGGCTGGTGCTGTGTCTGGTAAAACCATTGACTGTAACATATATTCAATCTTTATTTCAGACTCAAGGTCCATATCACATACAAAAAGACAAGATACGCATCAATAAATAAGATAAAAAGCTAAACACAAAACAGATAAAAAACAACAGATAAAAAATATAAAATCAGTCCAATCACAGCTAGCCACACATGCTCACTGTCTGTATAGGCTATTGCGCCAATGTCTCCAAAGAGAACCGAGTAGAACTCTTCACAGGGTTAATCAAAATCGAGATAACATGATTGTCCGAGTCTTCTAGGCGACACATGAATTTGTACATTAACTTTCTTAAAAGGGCTTGACAAGTAGGTACCCCCAAGTTAACAAACAGCTGGCTGGCACTGTGCCATCTTGGTACCCTCAGCAGCAACCGTGAAGCATCATTGTATGCAACTTTTAGTTTTTGTATGCTTCTAGCCTTGTAGTTACTCCACAGGTGAGCCGTGTACTATGGTGTACAGAAAGCTTTTTAAAAAAAACCAACAAAAAAAACCTAATTTGCCCCTCAAGCATATCAACCATTTATATATATTTGTATGATATATGAAAGTAAAGTTTCTCCTGAGATGCATCTTATAAAAAGACCCAGAGGAGGAAACACCCACTGGCTTACAATATGTTACAGAACATAAAAAACATGTTTAAATGTGCCGTAAAATTGTGAGCTCATGCAGATTTGAGAAGGACAGAGCCCTCACTGAAAGTTTTGCAAAAAAGAAAAGAGAAAAGAAAAAGTAGATTATTTCTGCTTTCCAACCATATGTGATGATTTAAAAAAGGATTTAGTCAGTGTTTCTCTGTATTTAGTAATTCAATGTGTGTATCTTAGCTGGCCACACTTACCACAAAAAACAAGAAGAAAAGAACACAAAATAATAAAAGACACTGTGGACGAACATAGAGTCCACAGCAATTTAGCTCAACACTTAAATCAAATATTTCTGTCCCTTACATCACCTTTAAATCCGATTTTCTACATTTTTCTCTCTTCTCCAGTTCCCATTTTTCACATCTTCCTCTACTAGACCTTGTCATTTTCATTTTCTTGTCTCCTCTCCTCTCACTCTTCCTCCAGCTGTGGGTTGTTTGATGTCCCTCTGTCCTGGTCAGGCCAGCTGCCCCAGAAACCAAATGATGGGTTCTGTCATCCCGCTGACACCTGGACGCCCCCTAACCACCGGTTCCTTCCCTAACGACCAACTTGTCCCCTAACAACCATGAGAAACAAAGGACGACCACCGATCAATCACTAAAATTCCTCTGCAGCTATCGGTCAGGATGTGATATTTTCACATTTCTACTTGGAGAAAATGTTTTTTCTTACATTTCAAATACTAATGCATATGTGTCGGGGCTATTAGGAGACCTAGGAAGTTTTTCTTAAGTTAAGACCTAACTTGTCCCAAAATGATAAGAAGGTGAAGGAAGTTGTCCTTTCCGATACATTTGGTGTAGGACAACTGACCATGAAAGAAATTGTAGTTAAAAAAGAAAACTTTAACAGTGAGAGTGGTTGTATACACTCATTACAGGTGGCTGACAAGTATACAGGGGTCTGTTAAAAACAAGCAGTGGTCTCTCACCTCACTTTTGACTAATTACAGGCTTGAGGAGTTGTTTAGGTGAAGGCACACACACCTTCTGACAACTTAAATACACCTTTCTGGTCAGCTGCTGCAGCCACATGCCCAGCTGAACAGTTCAGACATGGCAACAAACAGGATGCTTTAAATCCCACAAGTTGTATACCTGCCTGAACGTCATCACCAATATGCCACAAAAAAGCGAGCACCACTCGCCTCATCCTGGGCAGTCTTTTGTTTTTCCAAGCTTCGGTCCTCTGCCAGAGGCCTGGGAGTCTGAGAGTTCTGTGCAGTATCTTAGCTGTTCCTAGGACTGCGCTCTTCTGAGCTGAGATCTCGGATGTTTTTTATGTGATTTTCTGGAGTCACAGTCCCAGATTAGGATCAAACAACATTTCTCCTTACATCCCTCCAACGCTGTCTTTTCCCCCTCCCACCTCTCAAGCCAACCCCACCTTACGAACACACAAAATGTCTATTGTTAATACTTTTATATGATACATGATAATATGTGTCATAAAACAGCATAATGTATGCTGTAAAAAGTTTTAATAAATATGTTAGATAAAAGCATCAGCCTTAAATGTTAATACAATGTGGTCGTAGTGCTAATTTTAAGTAAACAATTTAAATATTTATTTCACCACTGTCTTCCCATCTTGGTCCAAAACCAAGATGGGAAGACAGTTATGATCTGACTTTATCTAGGTTTTTCTATTAATGTGTTATTGTATTTATATATGCATACGCACAGTTGCCACTTAATAAAATACACCTGGCTTAAACTAATGTGGGCTACCTTCATAAAAGTTAGGCCTATTTTAAAAAATAAAAACAGTTTTAGAGGTGCTCATTCAACTTTTAATGATTTAAGAACACTTACAAACAGATGTGCTTCCCCCCTTTTTCTATTGAGGTTTGAGAACAAAGGAAACACATAACAGTGTAATGTTAAGGTCTCAAAAGCATCATGAAGTTGATTCAATCAATAGCATGCATCTGTTTGCATTCCACATATGTATTTATTATCACAATTTAAAGGAATATTTTTATTTAATTTAAATGTTTAGCTCGTCTTATTCTGTTTAACAGTTTACTTCTCCTGCATTACTTGCATATTGGTCACTTGCAACATTCTCCTGTCTATTCTGTTTCTTCAAGATTGCATTATGTTTTATTATTTATGTCTTATATATATTTATGTTG